CTTATACATATTCATATTATACATCAAATGTTCATTAATCTATTTTGACCCACGGTCTAACCCCCATCGATCCTATGACTCAAAAGAAATCCAGGTTTTTCTAAAGGAAGGTATACAGTATTGGTATTGGAAAATTGAATATGAAGATTACGGATACGATTAGGCGTAGCATTAAAATAAAAGCAAGACCATGAAAACGGAGACTGGAAGTGATTGTTATGTTGATAACAAAGCAAGCTATATGCAAGTTTCAAAGCTTCGTCCAAAGTCAGGAAAACAAGAGAATAGGCAGAGAAATAGACAGAATGTACATCGAAAATCTAATGCAACATTCAGATCTGGCAGGCTCCAACCACATTAGAAGATCCCGAATGTGTTCTCGCCACTGTAACTCATGTATAGAAAACCATCCTCGTCTTTGTGCTCTTCATAAATCGCAGACATTATCGCGGCTGCAGTAAAAGATAACACTGTTACCTCCACATTGACAAAAAGATATGATTAATTACCTGAACTGGCCAAGAAGATGATTAGGTATCTAACCAGTTGGTGGTAGAATGTTCTTGACAAAAATGAAGATGGCTTTCTCGGGACTGAGCTTGATCCGCTTCCGTACAACATAGACAAACTGACCAACAGTCAGATCAGCCGGGACCAAGTACCTGAAGTTTCTCCAATAATTCACCCGATTAGTTATCTCAAGAACATATATACTTCCCTAAGCAATGAACCAGAAATTTGTCAAGAAAAGGCATGACTTACTTTTTCTTATCAATATCAGGAACATCACTCTTCTCGGCTCTTTCCACAATGACCTGCAAAATCAAAAGGACCAAATAAGGAAAGGGTATGCATTTCCTTGAAAGAAGATAGCCAAAATTCATACAGGTATTCTATCTGGATACTTCTCCCTGATGCGAAAAGCTTCAGCTTGCCTCTTTTCTGTAAGACACAAGAGAGCACGAAGCATTAAGAAAATAACAATACATCGATATTTGCATACTCAAGAAAAGCAAAACGAAAACAGAACATGTTTCAAACATGATATGCACACATGAGGGTTCTTCTCTACTTGAACACAGAGTAAAACGAAAACAGAATATGTTATCAATCGAGATTATGTTACACTAACTCCAGGGACTGATATGGCGTTTCTATGTAAAAAAATCAAGAGAAACAAGTGAACCTTGTAATCTTCAACAACATCCAATTTGAGGTTATAAAATTGGTATGCGATCGAAATTGAAATCGTCGGAAATCAGAATCAGGCTCAATAGATGGATATGCGAAACAGATTTTGAAAATTAAACCTAAAACCCAGCTATGAGATTGAGATACCAAGATTGGTCGACTAGGATTAAATCAAAAGATGAACAAAAGGGGAAAAAAGAAACGAACCGAGAGGATGTTCTTGCTTGAAAGAGCTGATCGCCATAATAATCTCAGGAGTTTCGCTGCG